GGGTCTAGGCCTGAAACGTCAGCCTTCCTGCTCCTCTGATGCTGCTTGGCCTGCTGTATTCATCCAGCTCTACACCTTGTTATAATGTAACTTCAGGCTGGTTGCTATTGTGCAATAAAGTACTTTTTGTTTAAGAAAATAGCCTCTTCCCATTAGACTACCTGTGGGTTTTCCTCTACTACTTTACAGACAGTTGGTTTTGTAGGCCTATTCAGAAAAGGGGACAGTGGCAATGATGTACTCAATTACATTTGTTGGCAGTGGGTGGCATCACAAGCTCATATAGAGTCATCGAGTCATGGAGATATACAGCACGGAAACAGTCTCTTCAGTCCAACTCATCCATGCTGTCCAGATATCCTAAATAAATCTACTTCTATTTGCCAACATTTGCTCCATATCCCTCCAAACCCTCCTATTCATATACCCATCCAGATGCCTTTTAAATGTTGTAATTGTACCAGCCTCTACCACTTCCTCTGGCAGCTTATTCCATACATGCACCACCCTCTGTGTGAAAAGGTTGCCCCTTAGATCCCTTTCAAATCTTTCTCCTCTCACCTTAAACCTATGCCCTCTGGTTTTGGACTTCCCCACCCAGGGGGAAAGACATTGTCTATTTACCCTATCCATGCCCCTCATGATTTTATAAACCTCTATAAGGTCACCCCTCAGTCTCAGACATTCCAAGGAAAATAGCCCCAATCTATTCAGCCTTTCCTTATAGGTCAAACCCTCCAACCCTGGCAACATCTTTGTAAATCTTTTCTGAACCCTTTCAAATTTCATAAAATCTTTCCTATAGCAGGGAGAGCAGGATTGCATGCAGTATTCTGAAAGCGGCCTAACCAATGTCCTGTACAGTCGCAACAAGATCTTCCAACTCCTATACTTAATGTACAATTTGACAGAAGGTGTCACTGCCAGTGTTATCAAGTGGCAAATGCAGCAATTTGCTGCTCACTGGCACTCAGTTTGGGTTGCACCACGGTCATTTGATTCCTGATCACATCACAGTATCACTACAAATATTCATGAAAAAAGCTGAACTCAAGAATGGAGGTGAGAGTGGCCATCCACGATATCACTTAGCAGTGTTTAACCATGCATTATTTTTATTCATTCATGGGATGAGGGCATCGCTGGCCAGGCAGTATTTATTGCCTAATTGCCCAGAGGGCAGTTAAGAGTCAACCACATTGTTGTGGGTCTGTAGTCACATGTAGGCCAGATCAGGTAAGGATGGCAGTTTCCTTCCCTAAAGGACATTAGTGAACCAGATGGGTTTTTCCTGACAATTGACAATGGATTTATGGCCATTATTAGAGCCTTACTTCCAAATACTTATTGAATTCAAATTCCACCATCTGCCATGGTTGGATTGGAACCCAAGTCTGCAGAACATTATCTGGGTCAACAGTCCAGTGATAATACCACTAGGCCATGCATCAAGGAGACCTTGTTGAATCGAAGTCAATGGGAATCAGAGGAGAACGCCCCACTAAATAGCATAATAGAAGATGATTGAGGTTTTTGGTGGTCAATCATCTCAGTCCCAGGACATCTCAGCAGGAGTTCTTCAGGATAGTTGCCTAGACCCAATCTTTCTCAGCTGCTTCACAATGATTAGCACTCCATCACAAGTTCAGACATCAAGGTTTTCATTGATGATTGCACAATGTTCAGCACTCTTCATGATTCCTCAGATTCTGAAACAGTCCAGATGCAGAAAGTTGTGGATAACACCCAGCTTGGGTTGATATGCGAAACATAACATTCATCCCGTACAAGTGCGAGGAAATGGACATCACCAACAAGAGAGAATGTAACAATCTCCCCCTGACATTCAATGGCATGATCATCACTGAACCCCAGACTATCCTGGCAGTTACTATTGACCAGAAATGGAATTGGACTGGCCATATATACACACGTATATATATATTGTGGTTACAAGAACAGGTACTGGAATTTCTGAGGTGGGTAATTTAGCTCCTGTCTTCCTACTGGCCGTCCACCATTTATAAGGCACAAGTCAGGAGTGGGTTGGCATACTCTCCAATTGCCTGGATGAGTGCAGTTCTAACAACACTCAATGAGCTTGTTACCACCTCGGGCAAAATAACCTGCTTGGTTGGCACACCATCCATCAACTTTACTCCCTCGACCACTGATGCACAGAGGCAGCAATACAAGATGCACAGCAACAACTCTTCAAGGCTCTCGCTACTTCACTTTCTAAACCCATGACCTCTACCATCCAGAAGGGCAAAGGCAGCAGATGCATAGGAACACAGCCACCTGCAGAATCCCCACCAAGCCACACTCTATCCTGACTTAGAACTATGTCATCATTCCTTCACTGTCACTGGGTCAAAATTCTGAAACTCCCTTCCTAGCATCTCTGTGAGTGTACCTGCACTAGATGGATTGCAGCAGTTCAAGAAGGAGATTTCCTACCACCCTTTCCTCAGTAATTAGGGATTAGCAAGAAATACTGGCCTCACCTTGGTTATCCACATCCCATGAGAGAATTAGACAAAAAAAGTTTAAGCTTCTATTACATCCTATCAAAGGTGTTAGGCAGAATTAAAATATGGTGGGGGACAATTCAAAAGAGAACTGCATCTTTTATTGGTCTCTTGAGTAATATTTACCAACTGAACTACATCACAGAAATAAATAATCTGACCATTTATCTCATTGCTGTTTTAGAACCTCACAAATTAGCTTGATACATTATAATGGAGTCTAAGATTTAAAAATATTTTATTGTCTGTGTGGCACTTCATCTTGAAGAGCTGAAAGATGCTGGAAAAATGGAAGTTTCCCTTTTCTTCAAGGAATATAATAGAACATACAACAGTTAATTTAGCTATAAACTATATATAAGAACTGAAATAGGTAATTCAACCTTTGAAGCCTGCTCCACTATTCAATTGGATCATAGCTGACCTATAGCTTAATTCTACCCACCTTGTAACCATTAATGCCCTTGTCTAACACAAACCATTGAAATTTTCAGGTGACCTAACCTCAAAGGCTTTTTTGGGTGAAATAAAATTCCAGATTTTCATTGCCTATGTATGAAGAAATGCTTTGTGTTGTCATCACCCTTGAATAGACTTGCTCTAATTTTAAGGATCTTTGCCACATTGCTCTTGACTATCTCCTAAAGAAGTGGTCAGTTTAGTAACATCAATTAAATCACTCCTTAATCCTGTACATTGCAAGAAATACAAGCTTAGTCTATGCAAACTGCTATAACTTAATCATTTTTGACTCAGTATCATTTGGTGAAATGCACTGCACCCCCTCCAAGAACAGCATACATTTTTGTGACAATCTAGATGGAGTCCAGGCAAAAATTTTTACTGCTGTAACATAACCTCTGTCCCTGTGTAGTGTAGCCTTTTTGAGATTAGTTTTTTAAATTTTTTTGTATAACTACACATTAGCTTTCAGTGATTTATGTGCTTGAATACCGAAACTTCTCTATTCATTCAGCAGCTTCTCACAATTAGAAAATACTCTGATCTACCATTTTAGGTCTAAATCTCACTTTCCTGTAATGAACTATATCTGCCACAATTCTGATCATTTACTGAATCTATCAATATCTCATTGCTATTTGCTATTCTGATATACCGTATTAATATCTAGCATAACTTAGATGTTATGGCTCTTTATGCTTTCATCAAAGTCACTTATAATAAAGTGAAAAATTGAGGCTTTCCCAGTGAAAACCCACTAGTCACATCCTGCAGCCGTGAGTGCATGATTATCCTGGCACTCTTTCCCCTTCTTCCAAGCAATCCCCTATCCAAGGATGCTGCCAATCTCATGAGTTCTCCTTATTGTTAACAGTCTTTTATGAGGACACTTGTTGAAAGTGTTTTGGAAGCCTATGTAAAATGACACATCCAAAGACATTATTTTGTCTCAAATATTTATTGCCTCAGTTTTAACTCAATATTTAAATAATCAACGGAGTTCCTCAGTATGAGTTACAATTTATGTACCTCTTCATTCTCTGTATCAACTCATATTTGTCCAAATGCTCAGTCAATCACTCTCGTAACAGATTAACTTTGAAATTCTTAATCATTTTGCATAAAGAATTTTGGTTGTTATATACCTGACACTCCGTACTTGAAAACAGAAGTGTTTGTTCCCTATCACTAAGATTTTCAGTAATCAAAAATCTTCACATAAATTAGGAATGCAAAAATGACCACAAAATGTATTCACTTTTGCTTCTGTTAAATAACCAAACATAATCCTAATATACATGAAGTCAGCTGCCTAATTTCATCCTCATTCTTTTCACCTTAGGGCAAGCCAAAATCATTTACAATTTAATTAGAAAAAATCCAGAGAAGTAATCTTTATAAATAATTTTTCAATATGTTCCAACATACCTAATGAATTGCTACATCTTGGCACATGAACATTTCCACCTTACTGTAAATATTCTAAACATTAGTTGGAAAAAGATGTTGTTAAAATTTGACTCCTAACAGATTGAAATATTACCTGATCAGCTCAATGTGTAAGTATTTTTATCTGTTTAGTTGAATGATTACTCCTTGATGTAGTGAACTAAATGGGTTTTAATGAGTCATTTTTTGTATGATTTATCACTAATTATACTTTCAAAGATAGCCTTTAAAGGTATTAGCTTATGGTAGTTGACTATTACATTTATTTTTGAATACCATAGCATTTCAAAAATTTTCCCAGAATTTTGAGATCCTATTCCATTTGTTTTTAATTACAGCACTGGGTTATCATGGCTAAACAAGTAAAATACCATTTTTAGGACTTGAGATTTTCAGGTTTCTGCCAGACTTAGGGATCAATTTCTGTGATCTAATTCATTGTTCCATTAAAGCCAGAAGCCCAGTTGCTTTGTATTTATGCTAATATGTAATAATGTTTCTGGGGGAGAAATAAGTGACAGTTTACTTAAAGATTAACAAAAGTTTTACAAGCTCAGAATGGACCAAACATAACAAGAAGTATAGAGTTAATACAGAATGCTTGAGTCCTTTCTTAAATCCTGCAGCTTATTTAAGAAACAGTTTGAAGTCACTGATTAAACTGTGATATTAAAGAAGAAGAAATTAATCTGTAGGGCAATAGTGTTTCAAGGTTACAATAATTAAATCCTCTGAAAGGCTTCTAAATATTTAATGTAAGTGACTATCCTACATTTAATAATGGTTTTGGCTCAGGTAGAGGACTGGGTTTTTTTTTGCCATTTATAAAAACTGCCATGGAAGTGGATTTCTACTGCCTCTGGTTGTTTCTCCAATACCTTGGTGTTATTAGTCATTTCCTTCGTTTGGTTTTAGCTTACAATTTAGAAAATCATATGATTGATTCACAAAATGGACAGCAGGACCTTGTTTCAAACTATTTTTAGCAACAGTTATCTCGATTTCCTGAATTATTACTTTGTTTAGCTAGTTCAAACATTCAATTTAATGGAAAATGTACATTCTGTTGAAAATATTCTAAAATTCACAATGATTATGAGTCAATTTTACTGCACTACAACTGTTCCAAAGAATATAATGTTGACATTGCACTTCTCTTGTATGATCAACAGAATATATAATTATTAACTTATTAAATTATACACTGCTGAATAGAATAGCATTTTATAGAAATCATTATTTTGGTTGAGCTATTTAATACTGTTCAGATATTATATACTTAACAGAATTGCACACAATCTAATCCAAAAGACGTAATATTTTACATCCTTAGAATTTGATTAGTCAAGTCTAGGCTAGTACATAATAGTAAAACCTCATTAAAAATTTATAACTTGTGAATCTCTTCTTCCCTGGGTCTATCGGAATGTGTAGTAAAACCTTGCTGATCATTATCAAGTGAGAAAATGTCTCTGAATTAAAATATAAGACTGAGAATATGTCAAAGATGTTACATTTAATACGGATTATCAGAGGCAAAGACTCCAAAGTTGTCTGTAAACCACAATTTTCAATGTATTTAACTGCAAAGTTATAGGTGGGATTTGGAACTTTTCCAGCAAACAGCTGACAATATTAACCGTTAATTGAAAGTTAGCAGTATAAAAGATACTCTATTATAATGCAACATTAAAGCTGGAAATGGCAGGAATTATAAAGTGGAATAGTGCTATTTTTTAAAAAAATCAATGTATTTTGAAAATTATTGAAAGAAATATACAGATGCATCTTTGGATTAGCACAAGTTATTGTGTCAATATATTGACTTGTCTGTTTACTTTGGTAGTTACAATGCTGTAATAATGATCTAACACAATTCCAACAAGCTATTCACATGGTCTCCGCTAATCTTTATAGGAAGGAAAATCATCATTAATCGACACCAAGACCGAAACACCAAAAAATCTGTTTATTTAAATTCAAAGATATTTATTTTTTTGAGATCTGCTCCAGTTGAAGTGCTTTTGTAACTTTTCACATTGTTATAATCCACTTTGTGCTTAACATGTTATAAAAAACTAACAGAAACAACCTAGTACTGCACAGTTTTTGTAAGCTCTAAGTGAATGCAGACATCCTGAAATTGGGAATTCTGGAGGCACTGCAGTATTTTAATAGAGGGCTTGACAATTTCCAGTGGAAAAGACTATTCAGGGTACATTGGAGTGTGTGAGCTAGTGAAGTTTGAACGACGGGCCACAGGAAACCATAAATCTTCTGGACCTAAAACAGAAGTTGCTGGAAAAGCTCAGCTGGTATGGCAGCACCTGTGAAGAAAAACCAGAGTTAACGTTTTGGGTCCGGTGACCCTTCCTCAGAACCTTCTGGATCTAGATTGGTGATCCTGTAGATTTCGAGGCACTTTCTCTTCTGAAATTATTCATCCCCTTTTCTGCACCGGATTTAGCAAAACTCCATCTTGGGCTGTGAGGTATCTCAAATTACTTTGTCAATTGGACAGGATGATAATTGTGTTTGATCTGTTGGGCTCAAGTTTGTGCTAAGTGCATATTATTTTTTGTAAATCTGTGAGTACTAAATGATTGGTCGTTTTAAGCAGAGTCAGTTGCTCATGTGGCATGCACTCTAAACAATTTCCCAGTACCAATGAACCAAAATATAATCGTCTTCACTGATGACCGCACCTTACAATAATTTCAATTGCACTCAAATGATTTGAACCACTGATGACACAAGATTGTTCAACTAAGTAAACTTTTTTTTTTGTCAAACTGCACTTTACCTTTGAAGTAAATGGACCTATTTCGATATTTTGGAACGCTACCATTCTTACAGTAGTTTTAGCTGTGCTCTTCACTATACAGTATTTTACACTAGAAATTAGGGTAGATATGAACTCTTAACAAGTCAATACTCTTAACAACAAATCCATAGCTGCACAATTTCAACCAAAACTAACTTCCTTTTGTTTTAAAAAAAGGCATTTTCAATAAAATGATCGAGCACAAGTGTACAAAATGCAATAACCGACACTGGCATTAGGCACAGACTAGTCATGAGCGATGAATTGTCAATGATAGGGGAAATTCGAGCAGAAAGACAGAGGAAGAGCGCGAATTTCGATCGGAACCCCTTACCGAGATGGTGCTGTTGTTTGAGCCGGAGATCTGACTGAGGGTCATAGACTCGGTGTATTGCTGGCTGCTGGAGGACAGCGAGCAGCGGCAGGAGCGCTGGAAGCGGGGGTTCCGGCCGTGGAACGAGCTGCTGTTACTGATGCTCCGGTGCCGATTGCCGAGGTACTCCTTGTAGTTCTTGGTGAGCAGCGTGTACAGGAAAGGGTTAATGCAGCTGTTGCTGTAGGTCAGGCAGGTCATCAGGTAGTTGATGTGACCCCGGGTCTTCTGGGACAGGGGCAGGGGGGACTGATAGTACTCGATCATCTGCCAGACCCAGAAAGGCAGGAAACAAGCCCAGAACACCAGGACGATGGCGAAGATCATGTAGAGAACCCTCTGGTTGGGCGAGCGCTTGGTCTGCTTGTCGTTGAAGGTGGTGAGCTGGGAGACCCAGTAGGTCCGGGCCAGGCGAATGTACAAATAGCCAATTATTATCCCAGGGGCCAGGATGCTGGTGGTGAACAGCACGGTCATGTAGATTCGGAAGACGTGCAGGCTCCAAGTGGGAGCACAGATACTCTTGCCCCGGATCCGCATTAACCTGATGATAAGCAGCATGGGCAGGGCGAGCAACAGCGAAGCCAGCCAGATCACCACCGCGATCGCCTTCCGGTAACTTTTCGACCTCTTCACCGTGTCCAAAGGCTTGACCACGGCCAGGTAGCGCTCGGTGCTCATCACGGTCAGGGTGAAGATGCTGGCGTGCATGGTGAGGAAATCCATGCTGAACAGCAGCCGGCAACCCAGGTCCCCGAAGTACCAGCTCTTGGCGAAGTAGGTGCAGACGATGAAGGGGATGGTGGAGAGGTAGAGCAGGTCCGCCAGCGCCAGACTCACGATGTAGATGTACATGGAGGCGGCCGAGCGCATGGACTGGCACATCAGTACCAGCGTGTAGACATTGCCCGCCACCCCGGTCAGAAACATCAGCGACAGGATGGTACCGATGGAGCAGGTCACTGCCAGCTCCTCTAGCGAGGCCGGTGCCAGGCGCTCACTCACCGTCTGGTTGGTGCTGGAGATGGTGCTCAGGTTCCAGGCATGGAGGCCAGCTTCAGTGGCCATCTCTCTCTGTCCCCGTCTCTCCCTCTCTCTCTCTGCCCCTGTCTCCCTCTCTCTCTCTGCCCTGTCTTCCTCTCTCTCTCTCTGCCCTTGTCTTCCTCTCTTTCTGCCCTGTCTTCCTCTCTCTCTCTGCCCCTGTTTCCCTCTCTCTCTGCTCCTGTCTCCTTCCCTCTCTCTCTCTCTGACCCTGTCTCCCTCTCCCTCTCTACCCTGTCTCCCTCTCTCTCTGCCCTTGTTTCCCTTCTCTCTCTGCCCCTGTCTCCTTCCCTCTCTCTCTCTGACCCTGTCTCCCTCTCTCTCTCTTTGCCCCTGTCTCTCTCTGTCTTTCTGAGGAGGGGGGAAATGGTGGATTGGGCTGGAGGGTGGGGGTGGATGGGGGTGGGAGATCTCTCACAGGAAGTGGACTGACACCCTCCCACCCCAACACACACACACACAACCAAACAATCCACCAATAAATATCAACTCAGCCTTCAAGCAATGGTCCTGGAGTGAGGATCAGATTCTTCACCTGCACCAGGAACACCTACTAGAGCTTCCAGGTAGACATCCTGGTGGAATGGACACACGGTGTGTGTTGGAGGGGTCTTGTTGCTCAGAGTTGACTGAGTCCTGGAGAGGTTCTTTAGGATGAGTGAGCAGGCAAGCTCTGATTGGGGATTTTTGTTTGATTTTGATCAGCTCAGTGAGAAGCTGGGCCAGCTTTGTTGGCGCACTCTGGGTGACTGAGCTGTCTCCCCTCGGTCCTGGCGAGAGCTATTTATTGCGGCGGATGACGCGGGGCTTTCGTTGTTCCTTTTGAAACGCCAACTCTCGGAGCCATGCTGTCGCTGCCGCCGCCACTTCCACACTATCCCCCCCGCGGTCACTGAAAATCATTGGGATGTCCCGGCGGCGTGTCATAGCCCTCCATCCCCGCACCACTGCTCAGTACTATCCGCCGGAGTATGCTTCATAACCAGTGCTCGACTGTGTGCAGTCTACAGCAAACAGTGAGGAAATCCCAGGAAGGAAACCTACACTACCACAGGCTGTCAAATCTCCTGCCTTCTTTTCACAGCGTTTGGTGATCCCTTTGAAACTGAATACATACCAGTAAAAGAGAAACAATTTCAATTTTTGTTTTACTTTGACACTCCTTAATTGGCAGAAGACTGCTGGATTCTGGAAATTTGAATTATAATAAAATGTTTTAGGAAGAGGAAATGTTGTTGTTTTAAGTTTGTCAGTGTGTAATATCCTGAAGGGTAAGTGTATTCAGATCCTGTCTCCGCTAACAGTTTGCACGTGGCCATGCTCACGGCAACATATTACGTTCTTACAGAACTGCAATCAATTTAGGATCAGCACAGCAAAATGGCCATTTGACTTATCTTGAAGTATTTCGAAAGCCACTTCCCTGTGACCCTCCAAACATTTCCCTTCTGAAGTATTTTCCCCCTTTCCTGCACTGTTGCAATGCGAATGCAAACGAGGAAAGTATAGCCCAGAAGGGGAAGAGGTTGTTATTATGTCTGAAGAAGGGTCCAGACCCGAAACGTCAGCCTTCCTGCTCCTCTGATGCTGCTTGGCATGCTGTGTTCATCCAGCTCTACACCCTGTTATCTCTTGTTATTATGTCCGCTCCCTTTATCCGTCCATTAAAATGTATTTCTCTGAGGAGGAAAAGTTTGCAGGGCAATGGAGAAAGGACGTGACATGGGATGTGTTGCTCTTGATAGATCAAATGGCCGCCTTCTGTGCTACAACCATTCAAGGTTCCTAACTCTATCAAATTGTATTTTGAAAGTGCGTGTGCTCATTGCAGACACATTTCTGTGTTTTCTAGAACTGCTCATTAATCAAGTTTATACCCACTTCATAGGCTTTTGTGGTGCAGTGGTAGCATCCCTATCTCTGAGCCAGGAGACCCAGATTTAAGTCCCAACTGTTTTGGAGGTGTATAATAACATTTCCGAACAAGTTGATTGAACACATCTTAAGTTGGTCCAACAGAAAACTCTGAAGATAAGGTAACGTTTAAACCCACTTCATTATGTTCTTATAAATATCTATTCTGTTGAATGCTAAGATAAGATGTAAGGAGTTCGCATTATCTGCATCCAAACTTTTTATCTAAAGACACATTTTGACAGCAACCAAATCCTGACCTCAGCGCGATTAGATCTCCATACAGATAAGTTCAGCCACTTTTGTGTTGAAATTTGGCAGCAGTTACCTTATTGTGGATCTGAATACATAATTAAAGTCATAGAATCCCTACAGTGTGGAAGCAGCCATTCAAACCATCAAGTCCACACCAATCCTCCAAAGAGAAGCCCACCAGGACCCATTATCCCCATAACCCTGCATTTCCCATGGCTAATCCATCCAACCTACACATCCCTGGACAC